CTGCTGAGGAAAGGAAAGGTTAAAGGATGTACTTGGAAGCTGCTTTGTCGGTGGACGATGTTCGCCATAGTTAACTAGCTTTTCACCCATGGATGAAGAAGCAAGGTGGCGAGTTTCATGATTTTGAAATGTAAATTCCAAATTGTCCAGAAGGAGACGAAAGCAGCCGCTGCAAGATTTGACAAAGGATGTAAGAGGCATAGGACTTGTGCAACACAGAAAAGCAAGCCTCCAGTGCGAATTAAAGCCCCCGAAGTCAGCCTACAGCAAGAGTACAGATGCCGTCGAGATTCCAAAAGTCGGGCTAAGTTCATGATAGGCAAGGTCAAAAGTCGGGCTCGGTCCGGAATAGAAAATTCAAAAGTCGGGCTCGGTTCATGGTTGGAAGGGTTAAAAGGCGGGCTCCGTTCGTGGTTGAAAGTCGGGCTCAGTTCGTGATTGAAAGTCGGGCTCAGTTGGTGGTCCGAATCCCGGGTTCGGTCAGGGATAAATTCAGGCTCGGTTCACGGTTGAGTCTGGGCTCGGTCGGTAATTGAAAAGCGGGCTTAGTTAGGGGTATTTAGGGGGGGCTAGGTTGGGTATATTCACACGGGCTAAGTTGGGTATAGGTTTGGGGCACAATCCTATTTTGGTGAAATATTCCACCGTCCAGTGTTCGAAATGAGCCGGCGTGAGTGTGTAAAAGAAAGTTATATCATTCGTGACTTGGTGTAGTGCCAATTAGATCCACGCGAGCAATGATACCTCACCAGAAGCTTATTACGCTGGAAATTCCGTGTTTTATTTCGAACTCGCTAGTACAATATGCGTCCTGCCAATACGCGGCATTCACTCACGTGATCGCGTTTCAATGTTCGAATTTTGAACTGGAGTTTATCTTATTTCTTGATAAACCGGAGGAGGAGGAAGGCCGCGATTCAACATAAGCAGGAGATAGTCCAAGGACAAGACGCGAGGTGGACGAGTGCGGAACCCCGGACTCTAACGCGCAAAAAAGTACATAGACGCCGAGTGGGGCGCGAGAACGAGTCTCGCGTCGCTCGAACAAAGCGTAAGCTCGGCGGACAAGAGAAAGACTCGAGCGACAGGGGCGCAAGAAACGCCAGAAGAGCACGCATCGACGGGCGGAAAGGAAAGTTGAACATAGAGAAAGAAAAAGAAAAGCATCCCTGATTCCACCGCCGAGCCATGAAATTAGCGAGGCGAAGCAGGATACTTATCCAAGCTCATTAATTCGGAACCCAGGCAGCTCCACAGCGCATTATTCCAGATTCAATATCCTCATCAACCACCGACGCTCCAATATCCCCACCGTCCGCATCCTCCCATTCACGACCAAGATCTACTTGCGGTCGGGCCCGCAGCACACTTGACGCCTACAAAAAGCCAACCATCCAATAATCAGATATGCGCTCTCTCTCTCTCGAGTGCAATGATGAATGCGGAGTAGGTTGAACGTTGGACGCACCCTTCGAGCACACCGGCGGGGAGGGCCCGGCGGTCGGGGCAGTTGATGCAGATGGTCGGGACCGGGGCTGGGGCCGGGGCGGGCTCGGGGGTCGCGCTGCATAACGCATGCGATTCGGGTCAGCATGAAGGCAGCTATGGGTATTGTATATTAGGGCGCAGACGAGACGACGTACGCGACCTCGGAGACAGCCATGAATGCGACGGCGGCGGCGAGGAGGACGAGTTTGAGGTTGCTGAGCATTGTTGTCGATGTGATGTGAGTGGGAGGAGGGAGGAGGATTATTGTGAGCGGGAAGGAGGGGGCAGGGCTGCTTGACGACCTTTTATATGTAAGAATAATGGGAGCGCGCCGGGGCGGTGTCAGGGAGTATGTAGTGTGGATCTGAGATTGTGGATCCCGCCGGACGGGAGCTGTTTAGTTTCACCACACGAGGCTCGAGCTCCACGGCAAAGTCTGGCAAAGTAGGCATACAGATCTACAAGCGTAGCCAGTAGACTTGTCGCGCACATACATATTTTACTGTTGACTGGGAAGACGAGATGAGTTACGGAGTTAACAATTTAAAGCAACAAACCTCCCGCCGTCCATCAGCGATGGCCAACGACGCGTGTAGATCTGCGCGGGAGTCGTCTGGGAACATCCCGCAGTGCCTGATATTCAGATCTAACAGGATAAGACTTGAGACTCAGGATAAGGTAGAAACCTCACAGGAAGCTGCGAAAGCAAAGATGAAAGCGCATAAGTAGCAGAGAGATGGTTCATAATATTAATTGGCATGTTAAATACGACAAAGGGCTGTCTGTGTATGCCTTGCCATGCATGGAATGGAATGCAGCGCGAGGAAGGTGAACACAGCCCGAACGATTCAGCACGCGCAGGCTGCAAATCGAGCGAGCGGCCCGGGGCGAGCGGGCTATGAAGGGGCAGGGTACAAAGGGATGGGCCAGAGAAGGACGAGCGGGCTATGAAGCGCGGGGGACTGGAAGTAAGAGCGCGCAGAACAACAGCCAGCTGCGCCGTACACGAGCTCGCCTCGACGCCAAATATCGAGGAGCACCCCATCGAGGGCCACGCGTCCCACCCCCTGCGCCCAGGACGTCCGTCCCACCCCCTGCGCCCAGGACGTCCGTCCCACCCCCGTCCGGCCCGAGGCGTACGCACCCCAGTCCGCGCACGCTTCACTCACCCGCACCCACAGGCGTCCCGCCCCGCCGCACGCCATCCTCGCCACGCATTCCGCACGTAAGGAGCGGAGATATACCAGCGCCAAGGACGCTGGCCCGGAAGGACACGGCCACGACACGCAGGGGCCCCATCCGCGCAGAAATGACACGCGCGCGCACGCGAGGAGCGCAGACGCGGGGTGGGCCTCGAGAAGGGTTCAGGCTCGAGCGAGGCAGGCGCAGGCGCAGGCGCAAGGCACGCGTCGCCCACCACCGGCGAGGGCTTCGTCCATTGGCACCGAGGGCTCGTGCGTAGACACGTCGCCCATAAGCCGACAAGAGAACACGAAAGAGGAAAAAGGAAAAGGGCAGAACAAGAACGAGGATGGAAGCGAGAACGAGAATGAAAGAGAGGAGGTCGGAGGAGAATGGAAGCGAGAACGAGGAAGAGATGAAAGAGAATGGAAGCGAGAACGAGAGGGAGATGAAAGAGTAGGGTGGTGAAGGAAGGAAGGATTGGGACGAAAGAAATAAGATGGATGGAATGAATGCTCACCTACGCCCCTTCTTCCCCATCCCCCCCCCTCCTCATCCCCGTCCCCGTCCCCGCACTCGGCGTAGGCGTCCTCGGACTCTCGTGCTGTGTCCTTGGGCTCTTGTTCGTCTAGCGCGCCTCCTCTCTCCTTCTCGATCTCGATCTCCTTCCTCGCCTGCTTGTTGTTCCCGCTCCCGCCTCGACGGACACACCCGACCACCTCATCTCTCTCGGATTTAACGACGACGACAGCGACGAGCGTCTCGACTGGCCTGCGCGGGCGGAAAACGACGCCCCCACTCCCAGCCATCACCGTAGCCAGCCTCGCCTCGTGCTCTGGGTTTCGCTCCTGCCTCCCATTTAACGGGGACGCCGCGTACATGCGGGCTCTGGGCGTACGAAGAGGATGCGGGTGGAAGGGAGAGAGGAGGTGGAAGTGGAGGAGAATTTGGAGTCGCCGCCGTAGGCGTAGGCGCTCTATTCGTGCGCGCCTCCGTTCCTGTGATCGCCCTGTGGAACGGGCAGGACGTAGGCAGAGCCAGGTAGAGCTGAGAAGGAAGGCCGCGGGGACGACGAGGCGGAGGCGGAGCCGCGGCGGAGGGCGGCGCGCAGCTGTTCCGAGCGCGAGTGGGGCGTTTGGGGGGCGGCTGAGGCTCCCTCCTGCTCCTGCTCGCGTGTAAGGAGCAGGAGCAGAAGAGGGCGGGGAGGGCAAGGAGGGGCGTTGTGGTTGGGGGGCGTGCATCGTCGGGGGCGCCGTAGGTGGCGGCGCTGGACTTGAAGACGCCGACGTGGCTGTACTTGAGGATGTGGACGTAGACATAGAGGTGGTGGCGGTGGTGGAGGAGGCGGGGAAGAGGCCGCGAGGAGGGCGGGCAGCGGGGGGAGCGAGGCGCGTTTGCGGGCGCTGCTTGTGTTCGGGGTGGAGGTATCCAGCTTGGCAATAGGTGTATGCGGTGTATTCAGCGTCGTGTGCGCTGTGGTGCTACAGCTCGAAGGCGTCGCGCGCGTACTTGCCCGCGTACGTAGCGTGACCGTCACACCGCGACCATCAGACTCCCACACGCCCTTTTGTGTTTCTTGTTGCTGTACAACGATGACGACGACGTCCTTTGCTATACTGCACTCGATTTTCTTTGGAGTTTTTCGTCGTGTCGCTTCGCGCTGAGGTGCACGAACAGGAACAGGCTTAATTACGTGGCAGTGCCGGGCATCAAACCCCGTCCCCTTCTTGCTAAATTCCAAACCAGGTCCGTGCGCTCGGTGAGATCATCCGTGCGTCATGGTTATTTTCCTCTCGTCTTCGTCGTGCGACTCGCGGTTTGCCGACGAACGACAGACCGCTCTGTTCTCGAGCACGAGGATACAAGGTTCAACATTGAGTACAGATCTAAGTACGACACCGGCCTCGAGATCCCCGACTCGAGACCCGATCCGCGCCATATCCGCCACTTGCAGCCTGTCTAAGGTCTTCCCTCGACAGTGGGGTCCATGAAGGCACACGCACGAGCGACGATGAAGGTACATGTGCGACCATGAAGACACGGTACGAGGACCCGGCCCACTGCCTTACTAACTCAACCCAGATTTAACGAGCTGCGTTAATATTAATATTAATATTCGAGTCCGAGATCCCCGCGATCAGGCCTGGACCTAAATTTTTCCCATCTCCGCCTTACAAAGAAAAAAACACGTGTTTATTGGTCTGACTAGGGAGACTAGCCTGGACCATGCGGGAACGGAACGGGAAATGAGATGCACAGTATATACCAAAATGTGGGTATATATATATAACGGTGGGGGTACATATATAACGGTGGTGCATGCCTATCAAGGCCTGGTGGTGGAACGGTTAACACGCCGGCTGTATATGTAGTATCAAAATCAAACGTTTAAGCCGGAGGTTCCTTGTTCGAATCAAGGTCGGGCCATTACTTTTTTCACCTTGGTTGCTTCGCCTTAGGTGGTTTTATCTAAGCTGGTGCAAGTGAGAGGAAGGCCTGGTGGTGGAACGGTTAATACGCCTGCTTCATGTTTCTACTCCGTACAGTTTAAGCAGGAGACCCTTGTTCGAATCAAGGTCGGGCCGTATTTTTTTCACCTTGTTCGCTTCACCTCAAGACGTGGTTTTATGCAGGTTTGTGGAAGTGCAAGGACGGCCTGGTGATGGAACGGTTAACACGCCTGCTTTATGTATTTACTCCGTATAGTTTAAGCAGGAGACCCTTGTTTGAATCAAGGTCAGGCCGTATTTTTCTCACACCTCTCTTTAACGAGTTGAAGAAGGGATCTTATTCAAGTTGGTGAGAGTTTAAGGGCTTGGTGGTGTAATGGTTAACACGTCTGCTGTAAATAGACTCAGCATTCTCTCGTTTACAGCAGGAGATCCCTTGTTCGAATCAAGGCCAGGCCGTTCTTTTTTCACATTCCCGTCCTATCTCCATGACATTACGGCGCGTAATTCAACCGCACTTGAGTTTCACTGTGCATTGTCCATTTAATTTTAATTGGGTCCGGGATTCAGAACAAATTTCTCTTACTCGCTTGTAAATGATTTCTTTCCTGGAAATTTGTGAATGACTTCAAGTTGAAAGGGTGGGACCACAGAAATTCAGACGGTATCATAGCCAAGTTTGTACAAATGTAAGGATGGCCTGGTGGTGTAATGGTTAACACGCCTGCTTGTGTTTCCTGGAATCCCCACCTTCAGTAGGAGGTTCCTTGTTCGAATCAAGGCCAGGCCGTATTTTTTTCACATACTTCTCTTTAACGAGTTGAAGAAGGGATCTTTTTCAAGTTGGTGAGAGTGTAAGGATGGCCTAGTGGTGTAATGGTTAACACGTCTGCCTTAAATAAACCCTGCATCCCTCTGTTTACAGCAGGAGGTCCCTTGTTCGAATCAAGGCCAGGCTGTTCTTTTTTCACATTCCCGTCCTATCCCCATTACATGCGGCGCGTAAATCAACCGTGCGTTGTCCATTTAATTGGGTTCGGGATTCAGAACAAATTTCTCTTACTCGCTTGTAAATGATTTCTTTCCCCGGAAATTTGACTTTGTCTTTCCCCGGAAATTGGTGAATGACTTCAGGTTACAAGGGTGGGGTCGCAGACATTCAGACGGTGTCATAGCAAGTTTGTACAAATGTAAGGATGGCCTGGTGGTATAATGGTCAGCACGCCTGCTTAATTTAATATTGTAAAGAGAATTGTTGCAGGAGATCCTTGTTCGAATCAAGGCCAGGCCATATTTTTTCACCCACTTTTCTTCGACAAGTTCAAGGAGGGGTTTTATTTAAGTTGGTGAGAATGTAAGGATGGCCTGGTGGTGGAATGGTTAACACGTCTGCTACATCTAGTGTTGCCGCGACTCCAAAAGTCGAGTCGCGACTTGGTAAAATGACTCCGTGCCAAGTTTGACTTGACTTGACTTGACTTGACCCACCTTAAGTCACTTGAAGTTGCTCAAGTCGACTCGAGTCGGTCAAGTGGGGAGTTTTTTTTTGGATTGAGTGGAATCGCCACCAATACCAAACCAGTACAGGAATCTTGGGAACAATCAAATCATATGGCAGGAAACAATGAAATGTGTTTAATTTGCAATCACAGCAGGTTCCTGAGGGTATTTCATGGATCAGAGGGTTCAATATTCCTACATGTGGTGTGAAAGATATTTGCTATATTTTTCTAGATTTAATGAGCCTCCAAAACTGGATAGAAACGCGAAAAAAAGCGACGGTGACATGGTCGTGACATGTGTCACATTGTGTCACGGTTGTGACATTCGGTCCGGAAAAAAATGAAAATTGCTCCAATCGCGCATACCAATGTAAAGAAACATTTTTTAAAAAAACCTTGACTCAAGTCACAAGTCACTCCGAGGTCGCAAGGAAGTCATCAAATAACTTGACTTGACTCGGCTCAAGTCGACTCTCGGAAGTCGACTTGAGGGGGTCAAGTCGGAAGTCGCGGCAACACTAGCTACATCTATGTTAAAATGGTAGAACAGATTTGCAGCAGGAGATCCCTTGTTCGAATCAAGGTCGGGCCATTTCTTTTTCACTCTAACAAGTTATTTCTCACTTCAGCTTGAAAAGACGTGGTTTTATCCAAACTGGTAGGTATGGAAGGAAGGTCTGGTGGTGTAGCAGTTAACACGCCTGCTTAATATTGAAGGAAAGTGTAGACTTTAAGCGGGAGGTTCCTTGTTCGAATCAAGGCCAGGCCGTTCTTTTTTTCACATTCCCGTCCTATCTTCATGACATTACATACGGTGCGTAGTTCAACCGCACTTGAGTTTCACTGTGCATTGACCATTTAATTGGGTTCGAGATTCATAATAAATTAATTCTTACTCACTCGTAAGTGATTTCTTTCCCAGAAATTGTTACATGTAATGTCTTTCCCCTGACATCTGGAATGACTTCAAGCTGCAGGAGCGAAATGCAGAAATTCAACGGTGTCATAGCCGATTTTGTGGGAATGTAAGAGTGGCTTGGTGGTGGAATGGTTAACACGCCTGCTTAATCTATGGTGGTAGAAAAATTGTTGCAGGAGATCCTTGTTCGAATCAAGGCTAGGCCATATTTTTCTACCCACTTTTATTCGACAAGTTGAAGAAAGGGTTTTATTCAAGCTGGTGGGAGTGTAAGTGGTGTAATGTAATACATCTGCTATTTGTGTTATTGATTAGGATGACACAAAAGGTTTTCAGCAGGAGATCCTTTGTTCGAATCAAGGTCAGGCCATATTTTTTCACACATTTTTCTTCAACAAGTTTGAAGAAGGGTTTTATTCAAGGTGGTAGAAGTGCAAGGAAGGCCTTGTGGTGTAAGGGTTAACACGTCTGCTTTAAGTAGCACGACTATGAGAGGGTAATTTACAGCAGAAGATGCCTTGTTCGAATCAAGGTCGGGCCTTTCCTTTTTCTGTATCCTTACTACGACATAAGCCGACATTTTTCCGCCAACACACCCCGCCTGTTCAGCCTGGAAAAATATCTAGCATGAGGAATGAATCGTTCCTTATTTTCGTCGTCCTTTTGCACGGGTCTGAGCAGGAGAGTTGAATTTGGTTGAAATTGAAGAGGGCACATGCCAGCTTGGAAACGGCCGAACGATCTCTCTTCACTATCCACCAATGCCACCCAACTCCCCGCAACTCTGGTGGACGTTGACGCTATTTCAGCCTGCTGCATTCCGAAAGATCTCTCTTCGATGTGCATACGTCCGGTCACCATCTTTGCATGCACGAAGTCAGAATTGGGCCATAAGTACTGGGGACTCGCGTGTTGAGGTGCGCACTGGCCTTCTTGCAGGCCCGTCCTGCGGGATTCCAATGGCATGCATGACAGATTCGAACAGCATGAGGAACTGGATGGTGAGCCGCAGTACCCCTCTCGCAGAGTTTGCTGCTTCTTGTTGCGCTCAGTATGAGCTCATCAGGTGTTCCCAACATCCTCTCAGGGCCGTATCGCGGCACAATTTGCATTAAGTCGGGGTCATCCCAGCTGGTCGAGGGTCGCAGAGTCCTCTATGATTTATATATGCCAGCCGTGCGTCTATCCATTTATCGGTATACTGTTTACAGTGACGGTGCTCATGATCAACCAGTCCCGATGCCCATTCCGTGCGCGAAGGCAAACATCGGACTCAACGCTCTCCCTGTGCCGGGCCACTTGTCCCTGTACGGAGAAGATTCTAGCTGCCCTCGACTCGGATTCGGACTCTGCCTCGGACGTCAGTCTGCCTGCCCGCCCACTGTAAGAGTCGACTCTTGCATGGCCTCACCGCTGTCGTCCTGCAGGACCCAGGGCTTCTTCAATATGAGCTTCAAGAACCAGGAATCATACACCCAGTTTATCTCGCACGTCTTGCCCGTAAACTCGGGGATCAAGCAGATGCACCCTACCCGTGTTGAATTCAATAAGAAAATAATTCAACACTAGCCACGGCCTTTCATACGCCCAGTTTATCTCGCGCGTCTTGTCCGTAAGCCCGGGGATCAAGCAGACGCACCCTACCCGTGTTGAATTCAATAAGAAAATAATTCAATGCTAGCCACGACCTTTCATACATCAGTTTTGGTTTCACCGATCTTCAGCTTTCTCAGCCAGTCGTATCATCTGACGGCTTCAACCTGAAGGTCTTGCTTCAAATCAAATCACGAACACCGGAAGCGTTGTAGTCACTTTCGTTTCTGGTACCACTGGCAAACAACCTTCGACCCCACTCCCAGATGTATGACTTGCAGCGATCCAGATTTCAACACAAGAATGCCGATCGAGTTGACGAACGGAGTCCCCCTCTGTCTAAATTATTTGAATCCGCCTACCCCCGTTTCAGGCTTCCGACTCCGCTCGAGATCCACGTCTTTCGATTCCGCGCCGAGATATCGGTGCACGCCTTACGGCATCCATGCCAATATCGCGCACCCGTTCTTTTCTCAACGCCACGCAACTCCACCCACGTTTCAACCTCTCGACTACGTCCCCGCGCAATCTGCCATATCTAATATGTACTGTATAACTTTGACTGACGGCCTCCGCGACTCCACCAAGACTTCCACTCACCGTTTCGATCTTTTGCACCGTGACTTCGGGAACTGGAGGCTGGTCCCGGCAATTCGGTGGGAGGACAGACATGATCTCCACGAGTAAATTTAAATTCAACCCAGCGTCGCAGCGATTCGCTGCGCGAATTTTGCGGGTTTGCTCTATTTTTCACCCACCTGTCACTTTCCATGCTGAGCCGATCCGTGCGCTGCGCGATTTTCGCAGGCTCGCTGTGTTTCCTCTACTTTCTATACTCGGCCGCACCTCCACCGCTTCACTCCCAGAAAGAAGATACTGTCCATCTCACGCGTGTCATCTCGCTCGGCTCCATCCGTTTTCGCCGCTCAGCTCTATCTCCCAGTCTCCACTCGGACCGTTGCACCGCCGAAACATCATTTTTTCCCCCACCGATGGCCTGCATTTTAAAATGCACCTTTTATGCTATCGGTTCGCGTGGATTTTGGCTGGACGGGTGGGGAACTTTGTCCTCCTTAAATTTTCATGGGTGCGTAATTAATTACACCGGCATATCTCTTGCTATTTAGCGCGCGACTCAGAGAACCTCCAGCTTCACGATCTTGGGTGCGCTTGCTACGTAGTTCCGCCCACCACCAACCTGCCTTGGGGATTTATTTACGCATTGCCCTTCGTATTTATTATCTTGTACCCATCGAAATAAGATTACAGTTCGCGTGACTCGGGAGTGTTCTAATAATACACAACGAGTTGAGACGATATAAAATCGTTGCGGCCATGAAATTGACTCGTCGAAAGCATACGTATGCGGTATCAGCTCGTTGGAAGGATGAACCAAGGTTGATTTATTCAACTGTGCGGTATATTCCAACTTGTTTAAAAGCAATCATGGCTGGGTGGTGGAATGTTTAACACGCCTGCTTCCATTATGCAAATGGCTTTTCACGTTTACAGCGGGAGATCGATGTTCGAATCAAGGTCGGGCCGTTCCTTTTTCACATTCCCTTGCCCTTCCAATTTTTATACCTCAGACTGTGTTAACGACGGTGGGTAATTCAAGCCTGACTTCAACTTCACCTGAACTTCACCGGACCAGAGAACCGTTGATACTGCGACTGGAATTCAAGCCGAACCCTTACATGTATGTAACTCATGACTTGAGCGGGATGGCGCAGATTATTTCCATGGCCAGACAGTGTCATAGCCAAGCTTGTGCAAGGACAGCTTGGTGGTGTAACGGTTAACATGCCTGCTTCAAGTAAGAGTAGCCCAAATAATTTATAGTAGGAGATTTCTTGTTCGAATCAACTTGAAGGCCAGGCCATCTCTTTTTATATATCACTACCTGCGTCATTTTCCCATTTACCCATGCATCTAGCATCAGGAGCAACAATCCCTGCTCAAACCCGTTCTCCTGTCCGCCCGCACATTGGAGTAGTGCTGCAGAGTTGAAATCGAGGAGTTGTCAGTTGAATTTCAAACGATGGAGTCACTTTGGCACGTGTGGCTCGGAAACGGCCGGTGTCTCTCTTCTTTCGCCACCACCAATGCCACCTAACTCCCCACGATTCTAGTAGAAATTGACACTACCGCGGCCTGCCACATTCTTGAAGACCTCTCTTCAACCATCTTTTCATGAAATCGGGCATACACACCGGAAAATGCAAAATTTAAGTGTGCCTGCAAACGTACCTTAATCTCTCAATTTCATTGGCATGTTCGGCGCAGCTGAAAATGCACCTGAAATCAGGGGTTTCAGACGGGCTGAAAATACCGCTGATTTTACTGAAGTAAGCTGGAAAATCAGCACAGTTGAAATCTGAAGTTCAAGATGCACTTACAGCACAGCTGAATATGTTCCCGAAGCTTAAGGTTTTAACTGTCGAATCAGAGCGTCTGAAACCAGCGGTTTCAGACTTGCCGAAACTGGCACTGAAAACAATAGTGTCGGCGGCACCTTCGGCGCGGCTTATACGATCAGTTTCAGCTGCAGTTTCAGCACGTGCCGAAAACGTAGTTGAAAACATTGGCTTCAGGCGCGCTGAAATTCATCCTAGGATGATCTGAGGATGATCCGAGGATGATCTTGGGATGATCCTAGGCTTATCGGAATAAGTTGTATTCAAAGATGTTTTTTATACGTTTCTTGTGATACCACATAAATAATGAATTATATAAAACAAAGCATTCTTGCCAAGTCTGGACCTGGACAGAGTCTGCCCGCGTAAATGACAATCCATAGATCCGCGGCGATCTCGGGAGCAGGCATGGGCGCGTTGCGTGTAGCTATCAGTTGGGGAGCCGCGATTTTGGGCCAAGGAGGACGGTTCCTCGCCCTCGCATCGGGAGGCGCGTTACTCTTAGACGGGGGAGCACTGCTTTTAGAAGTGAGCGCGTTGATGTTGGGACGCGCCGGATCGGCCTGCAAAAAGTAATAAATATATATTAAGGCTGCGGGTGATTGAAAGCGAAAATGCCCCTTCGTTAATCCCGTCTTCATAGCCGCAGACTCACTGGTCTTGGGCGGCGCAGCTGTACTGACCTCCAAAACAAACGAATAAAGAAGGCTGCGGCATATGAAAGAGACAGATGCACGGTCGTGGATCTATGGTTAGCATTCAAAGCCAGATGCCGCCGCGGATCCCACTCTGCCGTTCATGCCCGCCGACTCGCTGATCTTAGCCTTGAGCACCGTCGTATCTGCTTGAATAAGAAACGAATGAACAAACAAAGCTGCGGCGTATGCAGAATGGAAGACGCACCGGCACTATCGCGGAACCGACCTCAACCTTGGGACACACCGTTGTGGACGCTTCCATCGTAGTTGTATCACTGGTATTCAGCGGCACTCCAGCTTGCACGTCGATCGTATAAATAAAGAAGCACACGCGGTTTACACGGAACGGAGAAGTACCTGTGTCAGAAAAAGAGAGAAAAACACATAAATAAGGCTGTTGGTTGTGCAGACCGAAGATGCACCTTCGGGGAAATAGAGTTCGTGGCCATGGTCACAGACGGCATTCTACCCGCAGCCTCGCTTGTCTTGGGCGGCGCCGTCGCAGCCTGCAAAACCAACAGACAAATACGTTCAATCCAAATGAATGCAGACCAATCATTCCATGGCTTCACAGGTGAGATGTCCGTTTGACGTCGAGCGAGAGAAGCCGGTCCAGAGCCCACATATCGTAGTCTTGATGTAACGGTCCTCAATCCACGCATCGACGTGCGCGGATCAAGTCTGCGTGTAAACTGGATGGGAGAGTCTCGTTTGGATTCAGCGCCAACGAGTAACGCACTTCGTGTCGCATATAATCCAAACGAAGGATGTCGAGGCCCATCCAATCCATACACGTGGCCTCGATGTTTTCGCACTGAGCGAGACAAGGCGGAGTACGAAGCCGAAGCACAGAAGTGACCCCCAGACCGTTCTGGAATCAAGACAGAAGGGAACGAGTGGAAGGGTTCGTGTTATCTTTCCTCCGCGCATCCTGTGAGTCGTGACTTAAAAGACCCGTGCCGGCGAGGAACAGGTCTCCCGTCTTTGGAGAAGCGGCTTCGTAAGCCGGGCGGTCGAGTGCAGCATACTGTGTACCGATACGCCGTAGGCGAGATGTTGGACCTCCTGCGAAGATGTAGTCGGGATGCTTGTTGTATGGAGCACGAGAGCGGTGATGTACGTGGGAGAGCGGAGCCGAGATCCTTGCCCCATTATTCGAATCGCGTCACCATGGACGAGGTTTTGTGCTTGGTGCAGAAGAGTTTTGGAAAAGCGTGATGGATGCATCAAGCGTGGTCCGACGCTGCACGAAGTCAACTGTATCTGATATCTTGTGTAGCGGCGACAATCGAGCTTATGGTCTTGCTGCCGAGGTTCAGCACCAGCATACCCCGGGTGCGATAGAAACGGGTCGGAGATTCGTCGTGGCAGGCCTGGAAGCAAGTATAGTGCGTGAGCAGAAAGAATCCGAGTTCTTCGGCGTCGCCACAGCGGGACTCGTGGAAATCGCGGGTGAGGTCCAAGAGAACCAGTATTTTGCGCCGGGCCTGGGTCTCGCGAGTGATCCTGATGACAAAATCCCCACAATCGCCAGCGTGTCTCTAACACGCGGAAGATCGAGTGGACGAGGAACTTGGTCGTAACGGCCTCGTTTGGATTCAGCGCCCTCGAGCGAAGTGCCTCGGGTCGTATGTAGTCCAAGAAAAGGTCACCCAATCGACCGCGTCGCATGAAGGTCTCCGAGCCGTCAGAAACGCATCGCCAAAACACAGACGCTGAAGAGCGGGAGAGAGAAGGTCAAGGCATCGCCACTGATGCGATCAGAATTCGCTCCGAAGAGCCGCCAATACTCTTTCTCGGCCACCAATTGTACAAATCCTTGCATGGCGCAATCACATTCAAGCCCGCGCGCGGAGGCTGCGCATTCGCTGCCCCGAACGCACTGAAGATTAGTGCAACCTTGGCTGCGAATCGCGATTCAGTCCAGCGCCGACTTCAGACTTCGACGGATCGGGATACATGAAATGTGGACTTGGAACACGAGCGTGGCGATGCGTGCATAGCTCGTGGGTATCGCATGTAGCTCGTACTGCACGACATGGTGGGTGATATGAATGAGATGCGGCCACTGGAATTGGACGACCCCGGATACAAGGTGCGCAAACTCCCGACTAGATCGCCTGGTACCTCTTTGTTTAGATCCAACGCCACCGATTCGTGACTCGCTGAAATGCGGAGGTGATGCGGAAAGCGCCCCCAGGCAACTTTAGCGCCCACACAAGATCGGACAGCAAAGATGTCGAAGAAGATGGAGGGCTGCGGTCGCCGAAGCGAAAAATCCTCATAGATCATCGATGTGGAAGACTCGATAACAGTAGTGCAGCGTAGATTTGGAGTGGGAATCCCGAGCTTGCGACGCCACTGTACAAACGGAATCCCTTTCCAAGTAAGAAATCTCGCTAATCTTGAGTTAACTGTGCAAAAAATAGCGATTCGGGGCACGGCGACGGTGGATAAGACTGATTGTTGGTACGGATAAGTGCGACGCGGTGCGCGCACAAGATCGACTTTGCATGTAGATAGGAGGGTAAAGCCTCGTTTTGATTCAGCGCCAGCGGGTAACGGACCTCGCGTCGCATGTAATCTAAACGAAGGGCGTGGAAGCCCGTCGAATCCACACGCATGACATCAATATCTTCGAGCAAAAAATCCCGTAGGTACGTGTAGCTAAGAGATTCAGGCCAACAATGAGTTAGATAAATGAAACGAAAGATTGAACGTACTCTGCAAACAAATATGAAACCAGGCGAGGGCAAGTAGGAAACTTGCAGCGTACTTCAAGTTGAGGCGTTTTCCCAGCAGATACTGACCCATCTCCACTAGCCGAACTCTAGCACCACACAATAGAACTGCGACGGGCTGCGTACGATGATGCGCGGGCCCGAGAAGTGGCAATGGAGATCGCCCCAGTAGTGGCCGTCGTCGGGTTCCGCAGCCCCGGCCCCAGTCCCCGCTCCACCCTGCGTCTTCGTACTCTTTCTCGTCTTCCTGCGCGTCTCTATTTTTTGTCGTCCGCTGCGTCCTGCTCGCCCTTCCCCTCCCTGACGTTCTTGTAGCGTTCGGCCGCGACCCCACGCACGGGGGTAAGAATTCCGGGTGCACGCAGAGCGCGCGGAGGTACCATACGACGGACGCGAGCGTGTCATACCTGCGGAATGCGTGTCAGTGCCACAAGAAAAATAAAGAATGAGATGAAAGTAATGAATAACCAAAAAAATGGGGTGGGCGTGAAATGAAATGAATGAATAACAACTACTCACCCCGCTGAAATCGCCAGCTGATCCCCTCATGTGGCGCGAGCGCGTGTTCAGCGAGGTATAGCTCCCGCGGGCGCGCGTAGTTAGGGCGCGGCTCGTAGAACTTGTCGTGCATATTCGCTTTCACAAGCGGGTGGCCATGTCCTTTTCCGGGCGGAACCTTGTACCGCTCGCGGTAGCGCGCGATGTTGCCGAGGCAAACGAGCCAACGCGGTGCGGGCGATGGGGAGCGCTGAGCACGCCAGGGGCGGTCTGTGACGTGTTGGAGTGGGCGTGTGGTGGGGAGAATCCTGCTTGCTTGCTGGGGTGCTGGGGACGCTCTTGGCGCGCGAGGTGCTGGCGATGGGGAACGCGCTCCAGACACAGGAGGCCGCAAAGGTGGTGCCGTGGGTCACGGCAGGTACGTGCTGTAAGCGGCGAGGGCAGTACACTGCTGAAGCGGTGCGTGGGGAGGTGGTGCGCGTGGTGTGAGCGGCGAGAAGCGGCAGCGTCGTGCGGCTGGTGGTGCGG